GTTTTACCCCACTGGGGCAACAAATGCATTTTTCCCAGGGGAGCTTAATGACAAGAAAGCTCTAAATCAAAAATAAAGGCCTTCCAGCTCTAACAAGCTGAGATTGCAGGGGTGGAGCAAGGCAGGGGAGTCCCACTTCCTAAAACACTTAAAAGGGTCCCTTCTGCCAGTCAGCAACCCTACCAGTTCTGATCAAAACCAAACCACACCCAGCGGAGACTCAATGCTCCCGATTTAAACAACATAGCAGCATCTTCTAGACAAATTAGAAGTGACAGTTCAGATTTAGAGATGTGCAGAGCAGTGTGAAAAAACTCCATGACGGAGACTTCTCAGTGCATAGAAGGATGCTCGCTATACAAACAAGACGCTGGAGGAGGTGGAGGCAGGGTGAACCGCAAGAAGTAGCTGAAAAGCAGGTTTACATGAAGCCTTCCTAGGGCCTCTGGGAGGAGCCCAGGCTTTGGCTTCAGGGGTGATTGAGCAGGTTGCCTTGGGTAGCTGCTTGCTGTCCCCTTCATTAGCACCATGGAGTTATTACCCTAGCACAGTCTTTAGACAAACGAGAGACGTGGTCTGACTCGTGGAGGAGATTCACGCCAGGAGTTCTGTTGTTAAATCTCTGACTCTTTTCCTGAGTCTGTTGCTTGTACAACTGCCAAACAAGACCAAGTGAAAGCAAGAAAGAGGCTGGAAAGTGGAGTGGGGGGTGGGGGGTGGAGTGGGGGTGGGGAAGTGGGGGGGTGGAGATCTTGGGCTCAGAGATGCCCATTCTATCAGCCTGCCAGCTGTTTCTGGCACAGTGAGCCCTTGTCTCACCAAGACAAACATCCACAGCTAATTGAGCTTGCACTCTTGTTTGTCTACACTGCAGTCCTTGGAGGCTCTTCTTGGGGACCTACTCCAGAGGTCATTCTGCCCAGTTCTGCTGCTATTCTTGGCTCAGTGTAGGACAAGAGGGGCAGGGATGTTGACATTACCACTCTACCGGCAACAGCCCCACCTGCCCCCAATGATGGGAACTCATTCTAGCTCCCAGAGAGCTGCCTGTGAAACCAGACAGCTTACTACAGGTGCAATGTCTCCATCCAGCCCTCCCTGGCCTCTTGAGTGCAGGCATAGGGAGACCACATGGCCAAGGCACATTTCCCTCTGGAGATCTAGTCATCACAGAGTCTTCCAGCAGTGCTAAAAAGCCCAGTGCCCTGAGGAACTACATTCTCCTCCTTACCAACAGAAATTAAACAGTATAAACCTGAGGCCATTTACCATGTGCCAGATCAGCATCTCTAGCCTGTCTGCATGAACTCTTGAGAGTCTAGGCCATGTTCAAAGATGTCTGATTAGCATGTAAATTAGGCTCGGATCCTGCAGTCTTCTGCAAGGGCATCCAAGTGCTTTTGGCAGACATGTAGATAAGTCGGTGGATAGCTGATAGACAGAAAGACAGATGATGATAGAGTTGGTTACTGGAAACAAACATGCAAAGGCTGTGGCAATCCCCAACAATCTGACAATAGAGTGGAATTCTGGGAAAGAAACACCACAGAAAGGCTTCAGTCCAAGATGGGCTGTGGTGCTGCACACCTTTAATCCCAGTGCTTGGGAGGCAGAGGCAGGAGGATCTCTGAGTTCGAGGCCAGCCTGGGCTACAAAACAAGTTCCAAGACAATCAAAGCTACACAGAGAAACCTGTCTTGAAAAAACAAAAACAACACCAACAAACAAAAAAAGGCTTCAGTTTTTGTTGGACCATGTGCTAACTGTTCAGCCACCTTGTCTTCTGCCAGAAACTAAGATACCAGGAGTTCACTGCTACCTCCATACTCTCTTAGAACCCCAGACACAGGGATTAGCCAATGATTTCTAGCCCACTACTTGTTTCGGTAAATAAAGTTTTATTGATGCACAGTTTTACTTATTTATTTACATGTTGTCTCTGGCTGCTTTCTCATCATAAAGGCAAAGTCGAAGAATTGCAAAAAAAAAAACCATATAGCCTTGTTAAGTCAAATATGTGGTCTGGACCTTTACAAAAAAAAATGTGTGTTGACCCCTGTAGCAGGTCATCATAAGAGAACAGAAAGATGGGTCACTAGATAATAAGACCTGGGTCTGAGTGTCATCTGTGAACACAATAGAGGCAGTGCCTGAATTCTTACACAGGGCAGACACACACTGTTAATAGTAATTTGATTGGGAAAGAGAAGCCCAGGAAACTTGTCTCAGAACTATCAAAAATAACTTAAAAAATAAAGCCAAAGAGAGTCCTTTAGAACCTTCGTATTTGTCTTTTTAGCTATTCAGAGCACATTTATGGCAAATGCTCACTTTGTGTTGGGTCTTGTTCTAAATGGTAACACAGCAGAAGCAGTAATATCAGAGAGTCACGAAGCCTACATTTTAAATAGGAAGAGAGACAAGAGGTAAAGACACACCATCTTGGGTGGTGTCAAATACGGAAAGTACTACAAGGGGGAGTAATTTGAGTGATGGACTAGAGAGACTTAGGGAGGAGTCCTTCCACATGGTCAGGTCAGGGAAGGTGTCAATGAGGAAGACAGAATTAAGAAAAGGCAGGATAATCAATGAGAAGGCACAAGCTATCTGAAAAGTGTTCCTGCCAAAGGGAAGAGAAAGTGCAAAGGCCCGGTGGTTCCAGCATGTGTGGCGTCTGAGGGGCAGCACCGAGGGTCAAATGGATGGAAGAGATCAGGAGAATGCACCTTGTATTGAGAACAACATTAACTAGGGGCCAGACTCCACAGCAGTCACAGAGGTCAATGTGGTTTTCTAATGTGATGCTCGGGTTGTGGATTTTGATGCACCCGAATTCATCAAATATCCCTTTGGTGTTTGAGTGGAGGAGAAACTGTTAGGATCTGGGTAGAAATGGGGAGGCGAGTTGGACGGCACCATGAGCCAGGCTACAGGCAGAACTGGAGGAGAAGGAGTTGGCAGCCATCATAGTCATCAATCCCCACCTCATCAGAGCCTTTTCTGCCTCATCAGGTTCAGTGGTTAAAGACAGTGACAATTCCACCAAGTCTAATGCATGTAGACAGCTCTCCTGGGCCTGTGGGGTCCTCTGGGGGTAGAGCCTCAACTGGCTTTTACATGCTGTGCTCTTCTCACATCTACTGACTTGACCCTCTGTGGATACATGAAGCCACAAGGGTGCTCTCACTCTGGGACAGGGCAGTCAGATTCTGGGAATCTCTGAAAGCAGACTGAATGGGTTCCCTTAGGGTGATGGCATCGAAGGGGAACTTAGGACAGTAGTTAATCCAGGAAACTAGACATACTGGATACTGGTCTCCACTGGCCACTGTCACATGAAGTTTCCTGAGACTCCTGGCAGAATGGTCATGAAGATGGAGTGTGACTGTGAGCACTGGCTAGAACAGCCACAGCCCAAGTGGAGGAGTGTGTGTGTGTGTGTGTGTGTGTGTGTGTGTGTGTGTGTGTGTGTGTGATTGTATTCCAGGCTTCTAAATATCATGAACCAAGAAGCTTCCTGGAGAAATTTGGGGGGCTCCTCTGGCTAGGAATGAAGTCAGTGTTGGTGTCTCTGTTGGATCACATTTTTACATGCATCACTCCTTTCTGCAGGAAACTCGAGGGAAGGAAGAGCAAGGACAGGATGAATATGATGGTGAGTCGGAGGCTGCAGTCCTCAAAGTTTGCCCCAGAGAATAACCACTCTTGTGTTTTAGACACACTCACTGTCTCCGTGTTCACCATGTCCCTCAGTTGGCCATGCCAAGTGTCCCTATGCTTTAAGAACCTGGCACTGGTGGCCAGTGACAGAGGTTCTAAAGGTCATGGGTTGGATTCAGACAGACCTGGGTCTGTATCTCAGCACTCCCTTCTCCTAGCTGACCTTGGGCAAGTTGCTGTTTTATTGTGATGGGACGAAGGTAACATCAATGAACTGAAATCTGTCCCTCCACCACCATATTCCTATGTTGAAGTCTTAACTCCCCTAGATGAACTTTCCAGATGAAATAAGAGTCCAAATTCCCAGCCTTTTTTTTTTCAGAGACAAATCCAGATTAGGTCAGATTCTCATCTTGAAATGAGGAAGTCAAAGACGAAGGCATCTGCCGATATCTGGAGGAGCCACCTGACACCATTTTTCCCAGCAGCCTTTGGCATCAGAACCCATTTTTAGATGAGCTTATCTAGTACACCTAATGTCAGCATTAACACAATTTTTACAACCCAGATCTGTCCTGGCACAGATGGTGCCTGCAATCCTGTGGCACCTGTACCCGCTTGGAGAGCCACCAGGCGTGGCTCCTCTTATTTAACACAGGAGAATGTTGTCACTCAAACAAAACAAAGCCTGAAGAGCTACAGGAGCCACCAGACTTCTATCTGCCTCAGGCTGTCCCAACATGCCCAGTGCTCTTGGAACTCTTCCCCAGCCTTTCTCCAGGTTTCTCGGAATCTGTGGCCTCTGTGGCCTGCCCTCCACCTGTAAGCCTGGGCTCAGCATCAGCCTCTGCCCCTCCCCTTGCCGCTTCTGTCTTGCCAGGAACTAGCAGCAGAAAACATGGCCTCTGGAAGACCTTCGGCGGCTACCAGCAGAGCTCCTGGAATTGATCTCAGACAAACAGGAGCCAGGGGTGAGTCATAACAGGTGGCTCTGAGTGTGGTTGAAAGTTAAATTTAAAAGGGCAAATCAAAACATAGTCTGTGTGCTCCAGGCTCCTTAACTCCCTGTACTGGTATTAGAGCCCGCAAGCCCTTTGGACCTCTGCCAGCCCTCTCTGTGCCCGAGTGCCCTAGTAGGTATCTCAGCGACAAGGAACTGACCCCACCCCCCAGCACACCATCTTCCACTGTCACCCTGCTTTTACTGGTCACCCTTCACATTCAGCTTTGCACTCAACCACTGTTCCCTGCATTGCAGGTGGCCTTATGCTGGGCTTGTGACCTGAAGTTCCCTGTGTGGGCGTAGCGCCCCCTGGCGGGCGGATGACACGAGCACTCACCGGCGTGGGCGCGTTCACCACGGAAAGGTTGTACCCATAGAGGAAGGAAGATCCGAAGGCTCCCACGAGAGCGGCCACGACGAGCGACCAGGACCAGTTCTAGGAAGGGAGAAGAAAGAGTCAGAATGGGGTGCCTCCTTAATAGGAAGGCGGTTCAGGGGGAATTCAGGCGAGAAAAACTCAGGTTGGGGAAGGTGGGGGGAGGGCGGTGCGGCAGGCCGAGTTCCTGCCCTAAGGTCCCGCCTGGTGGCTGTCTTCCTGCAAGGCTGCTTGAGAGCCTCCTCCCCATCCCCACCCTTCTGCTGGATGTGGCCTTGTCTGACCCAGGAGGAGCAAAAAGCAAAGCTAAGTTCTTAGCAGAGGCTGGCAGTCCTTGAGCACTACTTGTTCTGAGAGCTTTCTACCTTATCTTTCTTCCCCTGAATATCTAGACTAGTCAGTCCGGTTCCATCCAGTGTCACAGAGGAGGGGGAAAGGGGCATAGAGCTGTCCCTGGTGCTGCCTGGGGAGGAGCCTGGAGCCTGAGCTGGGTCTCATTGCAGGACAAGGCTCCCTACCAGCACAGCTGACTCTTCACTTGGGTCTGAGACAGGTGATGGCCTCACAGATTCACACCCATGTACATGTGCGTGTACACACACGAACAGTTCCAGAGCAAAGCATCAGCCTGCAGATGGCCCAGGCCACCTAAGATGCGGACCTGCAGGTGTAGAGACGCCGGGGCTTCTGCTAAGAATGTGGCATCTGCATCCAGGGGCACCTGTCCCAGACGCATCCAAGAGGACCACAATCAAGAACTGGCCAAACTCACTACTACCCGGGGACTGGAGCACTGCCACAGGCCTGTGGCCTGGTGGAGGAGACCGGGGGCGTGTGTTTTGTTGCAATTTGGAGATGTGAGGTCCACACCACACCACACACACACAACTGCGTGTGCCAAGGGTGTACCAAGATAATATCCAGTTTAGAGGCCGAGATCAGGTACACATATAGTTTGGAAGGCGACACTGGCCCCTAACAGGAATTCCGTGCTCTACCTACCCTTAGTCTCTTCTTACTAGGTTCCAGCACCGCATGGTTGTGGGCATCTGAGCAGAGGCAGGGGCTTTCTGGGGTTCAACTTGTCCATCTATAAAATGGGCTTTTTTTTAAATAGCAGTAGTGCTGCTGAGAAACCACTGAGCTGCTGGACAGCCAGTTCCCGAAGAGAAACGAAAACTCTTTTACTTCCTAGCTTTACTTCCTCCAGCCCAGCCTCTGCCAAGATAGACAAGCTTTGACTCTCCTCCCTGTCCACTCAAAGTCCTCTAAGAGGCTCCCTCATTGCCTGAGACCCACTGCCAAAGCCCCTCCCTCTGGGGAGCCTCCAGAAAGCCACCCACTCGCCTCGCCTTGTCTTCCATGTTTCTCTCTTTGATTCAACCCTGGATCTTAATGCTTCGGTTTTCATGGTGCTGTAAGCTTATACAACCCTGGATCCTAACACTGCGGTTTTCATGGTGCTGTAAGCTTATTCAATCCTGGATCCTAACACTGCAGTTTTCATGGTGCTGTAAGCTTTGACCGGTTGCATGGCCACTCCTTGGCTCTGTTCCCTCATCTTTATGATAAGGGTGATAATAGAATTCACACCATCAGGGATTTGCACAAGAAGCAGAGCGCCGGCGCTGGGGCTGGCACGTGTCCCAGGTCGGGCTCCAGGGGGTGGGGCATGTCCTGAGGGCTGGGCCTCTGCTGCTGGCTTGTCTCCTGTGAGTCTGTGCCAAGCCTGTTGCTGAGGCAGCCCTGAGTAGATTCTGGTAGAATGGTGGAAGACGGGATGGGGGCTGTCACTCCAGGGATGGGTATAAAATGGGCCTAGGGCAGTGCTGTGCTGTAGGAGGAGCTTACGTTCTGTCCCGCTCTGAGCTCAGAGACCATGTCCTCTGAACTGCCCAGCACCAGCTACACTACGCATTTTTTTTCTAGGCCCTGGGCCTCGATCTGTCTCTCAACCCTGAACTCCTTAAGAGTGGACTGGTCCGTCAGATCTGGAAGGATCCTTCCAGGCAGGGGAGGATGGCAAGTGGAAGCCGTCTCCTGCCTCGGCCTTGCTTCTGAGGGTTCTCTGCTTTTCTGTGGCCTGTTGGTTCACTGCTGCTGTGTGGCCTGCTGGTGTTGTATCGTGCCCCCCCCCACACACCCTTCCCACTGATCTCAGAAAAAGATGGTCAGCCCTGAGCAAGCATGAGGTGGCTGTCCACCAGAACTTCATTCTCGGTGTACTGGCAGACAGGATGCTGGAGTGGAATCACAGGAGGGAGTCAACAGGAGGGGGTACAGAATTCAAACTCACACATTCCTGCTCCTGGTGTTATGCTACACAGCTGCCAGTCAGAAGCTAAGCTCTGTTCCACCCAGGCCTGGACTCCCCACAGCAAAGAAGTCATTCTGTGTTTACCTTTTTCCTCCTTAGCCGGTGGCTCTCAGACAGCTCCCCAGGGCAGCTGGTGTCATGTATCAGAGAAGCTAAGGCGAGCTTCCTGGCATTCATGGTTTTTTAAAATTCCTGGCTCCAGGACCCTGGACTTGCGGGGGCATCTCCACAGTGAGGAGGCAGAGTCCACAGGAACGAGGGCAGAGCAGGAAGTGCAGCTGTGTGATCATGCCTGAACAGGAAGCGAGCAACATTGCTCCCCTTCCCCTAAGCAACTGGAGAGTCTTAAAAGGACATCTGCTCTCCTCAGTCACACCCAATTCCTGGAGGGGTTTCTTTGGCAACTTTTTTTTTTTTCACAGTTCTCTTTAGCAAGATCAGAACTCTGGATGCGGCAACTGACCCAAAGCCAGAGAAAGTTCCTAAGAATTAAGGCTAAAGGTCATTGGCTTCACTTTGGACGCTGGGTGAGTTCCAGTGCTGACTCCTCTGCTAACTGTGTGCTCACAGGCAAGTCCTGACACTTTTCTGAGCCTCAATTCTGCCAGGGCAAATGGAATATTGATCTTTCTCTAAATGTCTTGCAGAGTCATTCTGCTGCTCAAATAGCAAACAGGGAGCCCCAGCAGTCTGCAGGAATGTCTGTGGGCCTCTCTGCAGACTCCAATAAAAGCTCAATAAAAGCATAAAGAGACAATGACATCACGCACATCGGGATAGCATGAGAGTGAATTCATTCTGTGGCCAGTTTGTCCCAATGTCAGTCAGAGAAGTGTCTTCAGTGACCCATGGTCAGGACAGGCTGTATCCGTGCTCTGAGAGTCTGAGAAGGGACAGAGGCAGGCTTGGTCAATGCAGGATGCCTAGGAGGTGAGGGGCGGGGTTCAAGTCCCCACACAAGACTCTGAGAAGCTAACAAGCTGTATTTAGTGGGAAGGACACATGGAGATAAGGAATGTGAAGAGAACTGTGCTAGGGACCTGATTGTCACATGTACCAGAAAGCACAGCAAGGAGGCAGTGCTGTCCAGGGTGAGCAGGAACCACTCTGAGCAAGAAAAACCAGCTTTAGTCCTCAGGGATTCACAGACCACAGGTAATCACCCAGTGTGGCATTCCTCAACCAGGGACACCTCCTGCAGGCACAGAGAGCTGATGCAGGTGACTTGTGGAATATTAGTCTAAGATGAGTTACATTTGTTTATGCTGTAGAATAGTTGTTTAATGAGGCAAAGAGGGGTTTATTCTCTTATGCTGCATTTGCTTAACTCTGTGAAGCTGTGTCACTTTGCCTGATTGGTCTAATAAAGAGCTGAATGGTCAATAGCTGGGCAGGAGACAGGGATAGGTGGGGCTGCCAGGCAGAGAGAATAAACACGGGGAGAGATCTAGGCTGGAGAGAAGAAGGGGGGAGGCTCCAGAAAAGGAGGAGAGGAGGACACTGGGGGCCAGCCACCCAGCCATACCACCAACCGTACAGTGAATGAGAATGGAAGACATAAAAATAAAGAAAGGTTAAAAAGTCTGGTGGCAAAACATAGAAGAAGAGAACCAGGTTACTTTAAGTTAGAAAAGCTGGCTAGAAACGAGAGAAGCTAAGGCCAGGCATTCATAAGTAAGAATAAGTCTCTGGGTATTCATTTGGGAGCTAGGTGGCAGGCCCCCAAAGAGCAAACACACAATTAAATGAACAACTACAGGTGACAGGCAAAAGGACTACGTGCTGGGACCTAAGGCACAGGAGGGGAGCAGAGAATCAGGGACTACCACACCCCTACAACGAAGGACTTAACCATGGTCTCATTTCTGCCTCGCCCACCACCCAGCTTTCCTCAGTGGACCCTTTTCTCACTCCTACAACAGACCTCATCAGCTATTACAAGCCTGCTGAAATTTCATCAGGTGACCCCTACCCCACTTAGGCTTCCCACAGAGGCAGCAAGCTCAAGGGCACCGGGACCCAGGTGGTCACATGCAAGTACAGCAGGGCACGATATCAAGGAGGGTGCCAGGGCCCTGTGTCACTCTGAGAACCGTCTTGGGGAAACTAATTGCTTTCTACCCCACTCTCATCTTGTTTATCGCTGGGGACAGGGTGCCTAGAGGTCAGATGTCCCTCTTCTAATGGGCTAATCCAAATTGAACCCTAGAGGGTTGCCAGGGTGCTCCCCCCCCTCTCTCTCTCTCTCACACACACACACACACACACACACACACGTGCGCGCATGCTTGTGCGTGCGGTCGCGTGAGAAAATTGACAGTTATTCTGGTAACAACAGAAAAGAACCATAGAGGAGAAAATAGAGATAGGGCTCAAATCCCTCCGAATCGCCACCTATTGTGAGAAAACACACGGACATCCCTGACTTGCTAGTGTCTCCACTTCTATTCTTTGCCAAGAACACCAGTTTGACCAAGGGAAGTGAACAGGGGACTGGATGTCCATGTAAAGGTCCCAGCGGGTTGCTCTGGCTGCAAGCTCTTCGATGCGGTTTGGAGAGGTCCAAGCAGTGCTAAGCAAGGGAGTCTTCCCAGCTGCTAAGTGTTAGGTTTGAGCCAATTGGACTTGGTGTTCGCACCATTTTACAGATACTAGCAGGCACCCTATGGTGGGATGGGGGAGAGGTCTGTGCTAGGCTCCCTGAGGCCTCCAGACTTCAGGTTTTGAGAAACCCCAGAGGTGAGGTCACTCTGTCTCCTGCAGCAGATCTCTTAGTTGATTCTGGGCTTTTTGTTGCTACAAAGAAACAAACAGCGTGTCTAAATTTGTAAGGCAACCTCCTCCCTAAGTATCCAAACTCCAGGAAAATGGCAGGCCCCGAAAAACTTAGACACCTCAGACATCTAAGGGTGAAGGCCTTCCCTGATCTGCTGAAGGCAACTGAGGTGCTTTTTCTGTACAGCAACACCCTCATTTCCCCAGAGTGGGAGAAGATCCTTCCCCTCCCTAAATGCTCAAAAGCGACCTCCCATATCTTCTCCAGTGCCCTGATATTTCCTCTCTTCCTTTCCTCTTCTTCTGGACCCCTGCCACATCCTCTCTGGCATTAAATAAATCCTGCTGCCTAAAGCAATGATATTTTTTGTCCGTGTCCTCTATCCTAATGGAGACCTTCTGCTGTGGACACAGCAGACACAGGTGGGGCAGGGATGGGTTTCAATGCATGCATATTGAAATTGCATGCATGTGCTTGCTTGCATGCTTGTGTGCCTGCATGTGTGTCCAAGCGTACACGTGTGTGTGTGTGTGTGTGTGTGTGTGTGTGTCTGTCTGTCTGTCTGTCTGTCTGTCTGTGTGTCTGTCTGGACATACACATAGGGTCAAGGCCAAAGATAGATGTCAGATGTCTTCCTCTTACTTTCTACCTTAGTTTTTGAGACAGGATCTCTCACTGAATCCCTTGAAGCTGATGGCTAGTGGGTTCCAGGAATCCACCAGTGTCCACCCCTTGCCTCAACACTAGAGTTACAGTGCACTCACCACCACTTCTGGCCTTTACTTGGGTTCTATGTAGTACTTTACCAACTGACCCATCTCCCCGGATCCTCATGTATCTTTAAATTTAAGAACAATGACCAAAACGGAGTCATCATTAAGGTTCCCTCCTTGACCTTTGGAATGGGGAACCTCACAGAAAGTCAAGACAGCCACCAGCATAACAGAACTCTGATGACCATCACCCCGCAGAGCCCATCCCAGACATATATATAGTCCACAGTGTCCCTCACTGCCATCTGTCCTCTTGGTATCCTGCTCTGTGCTGTTGTCAGCCCAGCCCGCCTCCCCTGGAGGGGGAGCACTAATGATCAGGCAAGATTGCCATGTTCTGGCTCCTGGGAATGCACAGGCAAGAGGAAACCAGAAGACAGGACTGACCACCTTCCTCTGCTCCTGCTGGTTTTCTTTGTTTTCTGCTGGGTCATTCTCGCTGAGCTTCATGGTTTGTTTTTCAGACCATGGGCTTCCTGTTGTTCCTAAGAGCAAAAGAAAGGGTGCCATTTAACCTGCTGCCAAAGATGTGTAAGATGTTACTCCAGCTACTCAAGAGACAAAGGCAGGAGGTCACAAGCCCAGGGCCCTACTGTTCTGCACAGTGAGTCAAGGCCAGTCGGGTAACTCAGTGGGAACTTGTCTCAAGATAAAAAGTGTTTAAAGACTTGAAGATGTAGTGCTCAGTGGAAGAACAATTGCTTAGCAAGCATGAGGTCCTGGGGTCAGCCCATAGTACCCCACAAAAACACAGGAAGTCACAGGAGGTTGCTGAACCGTGCTCTCAGGCAAGGACCCCAAGATGAGGCATAACAGTGTCCTCCCTTGACCCCAGATCCCCAGAAGACCCAGTCACCTCCTAGAACAACTTAGTTATGGAAACATGAGCTGGAGCTGTGTTTCCTGTACCTGCCTCCTAGCGTAAGGAATGCAGGCTGTTCCTCCCAGGAGCCTCACTCTGAAGGTCATGCTCACTAAGGCACATATTGGAAACACCAGACTGCCTGTCCCCAAAGGGGAAAATGAAGCCAGTGGATGTTGAGACAAAGTATCAGTCTCGCCTGTCAAGTTGGGAACAGTCACCAAAACAGTAACCCAAATCACTGGGGGACAGCAGTGGGCAGCCCTGCCAGTCTTCTAGAGTTTTGAAGTGTTTTAACGTCAGGAAGATGTGTATGCTTTAGCTAAACTTGCCGTGGCATTTGTAAAAATTTATCCTACGATAAAAAAAATGAGCACAAAGATTTTAGTCCAAGATATTCATTGCAACATTTTCTAAGCTGCAAAATGGTATTTTGCAATAGTAACTGTGTACTGTGGTGCAGTGTATTGACCTTTATTGGCCTCATTTTCATTGCCAGTTAAAGACACAGGGGAAACCTCCGACAAAGCAGACAGAATCAACCCATGAAGAAAAGCTTTTATTAGGGACAAGAAAACACACACACACACACACACACACACAAAGGGAGACAGAGAGAGAGACAGAGACAGAGAGAAAGACAGAGACAGAGAGAGAGAGAGAGAGAGAGAGAGAGAGAGAGAGAGAGAGAGAGAGAAAGAGAGAGAGGCATGTACTCACCCAAACACAGCACTCAGAAAGACCCTCTGCAAATCAGAGTAGGGAAACTTACAAAGTCCCAAATTCAGTCTTTAAAGGTCTTTGAGGGGGGTCTCCCTCCCATAATTCATGGTTGGTCAGCTGAACAAACACAGGGAGGCTGATAGGCCCAAACTTTGAAGTAAACATGTCCTGAGCCTGCCTTAAAATCATTAGACCAATCCACAGGTAGGAATCCCTGCTG